GCAGTCTCTGGTCATCTCCTGTAGTATGTCTCTGTAGTCTCTGATCATCTCCTGTACTGTGTCAGCAGTCTCTGCCTATCTCCTGTAGTATGTCAGCAGTCTCTGATCATCTCCTGCAGTATGTCTCCGTAGTCTCTGCCCATCTCCTGTAGTATGTCAGCAGTCTCTGGTCATCTCCTGTAGTATGTTTCCATAGTCTCTGACCATCTCCTGTAGTATGTCTGCAGTCTCTGCCCATCTCTTGTAGTATGTCAGCAGTCTTTGACCATCTCCTGTAGTATGTCTCCGTAGTCTCTGACCATCTCCTGTAGTATGTCTGCAGTCTCTGACCATCTCCTGCAGTATGTCTGCACTCTCTGATTATCTCCTGTATCATATCTGCAGTCTCTGACCATCTCCTGTAGTCAGGGGCGGACTAACCATTTGAGCACTCGGGCACTGCCCGAGGGCCCGGGGTCAGTAGGGGGCCCCATGAAATGCCCCTGGTACCTTTTATAGGCTTTTTTGGGTGTGCTTTGAGTTTGGGCAAGGACACAGGGGCCCCATGATCCCCTATTGCCTGGGGGCCCCATGAGTTGTCAGTCTGCCCCTGCCTGTAGTATGTCTCCAGTCTCTGCCCATCTCCTGTAGTATGTCTCCGTAGTCTCTGCCCATCTCCTGTAGTATGTCTCCGTAGTCTCTGCCCATCTCCTGTAGTATGTCTCCGTAGTCTCTGCCCATCTCCTGTAGTATGTCTGCAGTCTCTGACCATCTCCTGTAGTATGTCTCCGTAGTCTCTGCCCATCTCCTGTAGTATGTCTACAGTCTCTGCCCATCTCCTGTAGTATGTCTCCGCAGTCTCTGACCACCTCCTGTAGTATGTCTGCAGTCTCTGATCATCTCCTGTAGTATGTCTGCAGTCTCTGACCATCTCCTGTAGTATGTCTCCGTAGTCTCTGCCCATCTCCTGTAATATGTCTGCAGTCTCTGATCATCTCCTGTAGTATGTCTCCGTAGTCTCTGCCCATCTCCTGTAGTATGTCTCCGTAGTCTCTGCCATCTCCTGTAGTATGTCTGCAGTCTCTGACCATCTCCTGTAGTATGTCTCCGTAGTCTCTGCCCATCTCCTGTAGTATGTCTGCAGTCTCTGCCCATCTCCTGTAGTATGTCTCCGCAGTCTCTGACCACCTCCTGTAGTATGTCTGCAGTCTCTGATCATCTCCTGTAGTATGTCTGCAGTCTCTGACCATCTCCTGTAGTATGTCTCCGTAGTCTCTGCCCATCTCCTGTAATATGTCTGCAGTCTCTGATCATCTCCTGTAGTATGTCTCCGTAGTCTCTGACCATCTCCTGTAGTATGTCTGCAGTCTCTGATCATCTCCTGAGTATGTCTCCGTAGTCTCTGACCATCTCCTGTAGTATGTCTGCAGTCTCTGATCCCTCCTGTATATTTCTCCGTAGTCTCTGCCCATCTCCTGTAATATGTCTGCAGTCTCTGACCATCTCCTGTAGTATGTCTCCGTAGTCTCTGACCATCTCCTGTAGTATGTCTTCAGTCTCTGCCATCTCCTGTAGTATGTCAGCAGTCTCTGACCATCTCCTGTAGTATGTCTCCGTAGTCTCTGCCCATCTCCTGTAGTATGTCAGCAGTCTCTGGTCATCTCCTGCAGTATGTCTCCGTAGTCTCTGACCATCTCCTGTAGTATATCTGCAGTCTCTGCCCATCTCCTGTAGTATGTCAGCAGTCTCTGGTCATCTCCTGTAGTATGTCTCTGTAGTCGCTGACCATCTCCTGTACTGTGTCCGCAGTCTCTGACCATCTCCTGTAGTATGTCAGCAGTCTCTGGTCATCTCCTGTAGTATGTCTCTGTAGTCTCTGACCATCTCCTGTACTGTGTCCGCAGTCTCTGGCGATCTCCTGTAGTATGTCAGCAGTCTCTGGCCATCTCCTTTGTAGTATGTCAGCAGTCTCTGGCCATCTCCTGTAGTATGTCAGCAGTCTCTGGCCATCTCCTGTAGTATGTCAGCAGTCTCTGGCCATCTCCTGTAGTATGTCAGCAGTCTCTGGTCATCTCCTGTAGTATGTCTCTGTAGTCTCTGACCATCTCCTGTACTGTGTCCGCAGTCTCTGGCGATCTCCTATTGTTTTTCTGCATTCTTTGACAATCTCTTGTAGTATCGTATGTCTGCAGTCATTGACCGTCTCCTGTTGTGCATTTGCTGTCTGTGACACTGAATATTTACTAAATATTATGGGATGCCCTTTGGTGATGTCATTGCCCCATATTAGTGAGGTTGACCAATGCTGTTCTAACCCCGTTCCAAGATGGAAATGGGGGTATCACACACACATGTACATAGGATACACATACATACACACATGCATACATACAGGATAGACATGATCAGGACAAACCAGGGGCGGACTGACCATTCGAACACTCAGGCACTGCCCGAGGGCCCGGGGTCAGAAGGGGGCCCCATGAAATGCCCCGGGTACCTTTTTATAGGCTTTTTTGGGTGTGCTTTGAGTGTGGTCAAAGACACAGGGGCCCCATGATCCCCTATTGCCCGGGGGCCCATGAGTTGTCAGTCCACCCCTCGGACAAACACAGATCTACACTCAGACAAGGTAAAGAACAAAACCCTTTTCCCATGTTCCTATGTACAGGCTTATGTCAGGCATTTTGGGGACACTCCATCCTTATTTCTTTTTGTTTTAATAAAAAGACATTATTATTATTATTTCCCAAATATTTTATTATTTATTTATATAATTATTATACTTTATTTTAATATATATATTTTTATTTTTTTTAAGTCATTTTTAGACCCCATATAATTAATATTTATTTTTTAAATATAAGTATATCTTATATTTAATTGTATTACATTATATTTTCTTCTTCTTCTTATTATTATATTAATTAATCATTTTGTATAATAAAATTATATTTAATTGTAACGTATTGTATTTTCTATAAGTTATTATTTTAATGTTATTTATATATTTATATTATATATATATATATATTATATATATATATATAATATATATATAATATATTTATATATATTTTTTTTATATATATATATATATATATATATTTATTTATATATATATATATATATATATATATATATATATATATATATATATATAATATATATATAATATATATATATATATATATATATATATATATATATATATATATATATATATTTGTTATATATTTTTATATTATTTTAAAGCGTGATTGCTCTTTGCAATAATATTTCATTTGAAATTGTTTTTTTTTTTTCATTAGAACGATGCATTTTAATTATATGACATATATCGAATTATAAGTACACTGCATTCGCCGTCCCCAGTATAAATTTTGGGTATACGATATTGGAGGGAGAGTCGGAGTTATTTTTGGAATTAATTACGGAGTTGTCCAGGAACGGATGTCGATAAGTCGCGGCTCTCCAGTTCCCGGTCCGGCTTGTCCATCCCGGGACTTAAATTGTTTTGCCGCTCTTAAAATCTACATCACCAACGAAGGCGAAGGTACACGACACAATCTGATTGTACAACCTCTTTTAGATGTGCCATCTGGTTTGGATACAGACAGGGGCGGACTGACCATTTGGAAACTCGGGCACTGCTCCAGGGCCCGGGGTCAGTAGGGGGCCCCATGAGATGCCCCCGGTACCTTTTTCATAGGCTTTTTTGAGTTTGGGCAAGGACACAGGGGCCCCATGATCCCCTATTGAGGGCCCAGGGTCAGTAGGGGGCCCCATGAGATGCCCCGGTACCTTTTTCATAGGCTTTTTTTGAGTTTGGGCAAGGACACAGGGGCCCCATGATCCCCTATTGAGGGCCCAGGGTCAGTAGGGGGCCCCATGAGATGCCCCTGGTACCTTTTTCATAGGCTTTTTTGAGTTTGGGCAAGGACACAGGGGCCCCATGATCCCCTATTGAGGGCCCAGGGTCAGTAGGGGGCCCCATGAGATGCCCCGGTACCTTTTTCATAGGCTTTTTTGAGTTTGGGCAAGGACACAGGGGCCCCATGATCCCCTATTGAGGGCCCAGGGTCAGTAGGGGGCCCCATGAGATGCCCCGGTACCTTTTTCATAGGCTTTTTTGAGTTTGGGCAAGGACACAGAGGCCCATGATCCGTCAGTCCGCCCCTGTATACAGATTGATTGGATGGTCTAGGTAGGTCCTCATTGTTTTAGTAAATCTAATGCAGGCCATAGACGGCTCTTTTATCGGCCAAATTTTCGGTTGAAAAACGAAAAATCGGTCGTTCTGTTGCCACCAATGCTTATGAAAATCATCCGTTTTTCGTAAATTTTCCAGCATGATCGATAAAAGAAATGAGGAGGAACTGCGAAAATCAGCCGACGACATTGCCCCCACGAACATCGGCCGATTATTCTTTCGGATGAAAATTCGGCCGATAAACCATCTATGGCCTGCATAAAGCGGCTGTATAAAGACTGTAATGCGTATGGTGACCCCCTAGAGTGCTCTGTCCACATGGTGACAACCAGGGCAGACTGACCATTTGGAAACTCAGGCACTGCCCGAGGGCCCGGGGTCAGTAGTGGGCCCAATGAGATGCCCCTTGTACCTTTTTCATAGGCTTTTTTGAGTTTGGGCAAGGACACAGGGGCCCCATGATCCCCTATTGAGGGCCCAGGGTCAGTAGGGGGCCCCATGAGATGCCCCTTGTACCTTTTTCATAGGCTTTTTTGAGTTTGGGCAAGGACACATGGGCCCCATGATCCCCTATTGCCTGGGGGCCCCGTGAGTTGTCAGTCCGTCCCTGGTGACAACATAGCTGTGTGATTTCGCTACATACAAACAGCGTTGTCACCCCGTTACAGGAAGTTATAACAGGTAATAAAACTTTGTTATGAGGGAAGCTGCTGCTTTGGTGTTCCTGGGACCATTTTTTTTTAGTTCTGCCCCCCCCCAACCGTTGTAGACGCGAGTCAGGGAGCGCGTTGCGTACACCGGCCGGTACCTGGAAGATGTCGTTGGCGCACTTTCGGCACAGGTTGTGCTGGCAGGGCAGGATGACCACGGGTTTGGTGAACATCTCCAGGCAGATGGGACAGATCAGCTGCTTCTCCAGGTTGTCCATGGTCTGGGTGTCCCCCCCTAAAGCCTTGAAGCCCACGGCGAAATTCATTCCCTCCGCAGGACGAGGCGAGATGGACGAGGCGAGATGGACGGGACGCTCTTGTTTCCCCCCCCCGAGGTGACTTCAGCGGGCTCTGAGCCTCTACTGGGCACACAACGTCCCTTGCCTAACTATAGAGGGTCTTATCATGGGGGGGGGGGGAGGGGAGAGATGGCCTTAACCCCTTTCCTGCCAAGGTGGTGTCATGGCCACCCAGCCGCAGTCCCTGGTGAGACAGCCTGCCGCAGGGACAGTGTTAAAGGCGGACGTCGGAGGGGGCCGGGGGGGAATTCCTGGGGGGGTATTTTTAGCTTTTGGATAAGATGGACCCCGGTGGGATGGGAGGAGGAGGTTGCAGCTGTCACAAACGGCAGCAGGTGACACTGACTCACACAATGACTCGCAGAAATAACAAAGACGCAAATACGCTTCCACGTACGGGTGCAGGGACACAACACATCCGCACGTCACGGGGCCACTTAAAGGGGGACTCCGCAGCATGTCCCTGCTTGATAAATACCTACTCCGTAAATATGGCCTGGGGGGGGGGGGGGGGGGCTATGTTTTCAGGAAGCTATGTACAGCTCTCACCAGCCATGATCTGCCTGCATTGCATAGAGAAGCACAGAGACCCAATGATGACTTATGGGTGTGAAATAAGATGTAAATCGCTATAGTAGTTCTGGGTGACGGGCCATCAGTTAGCAATGGAGGGGGCTACCAGGTGGCTTCCTTATAGTGTCTGATAGATGGGTTGGGTGACTGGCCATCAGTTAGGAACAGAGGTGGCTACCAGGTGGCTTCCCCATGGTGTCTGATGGAGGAGTAGTGTGACTGGCCATCAGTTAGGAATAGAGGGGGGGCTGGCAGGTGGCTTCCCTATGGTATCTGATAGATGGTTTGGGTGACTGGCCATCAGTTAGGTTAGGAGGGTGCTACCAGGTGGCTTCCTTATGGTGTCTGATAGATGGGTTGGGTGACTGGCCATCAGTTAGGAATAGAGGGGGGGCTACCAGGTTGCTTCCCTATGGTGTCTGATAGATGGGTTGGGTGACTGGCCATCAGTTAGGTAGGGAGGGGGCTACCAGGTTGCTTCCCTATGGTGTCTGATAGATGGGTTGGGTGACTGGCCATCAGTTAGGTAGGGAGGGGGCTACCAGGTGGCTTCCTTATGATGTCTGATAGAGGGGTTGGGTGACTGGCCATCAGTTAGGTACAGAGGTGGCTACCAGGTGGCTTCCTTATGGTGTCTGATAGAGGGGTTGGGTGACTGGCCATCAGTTAGGAATAGAAGGGGGCTACCAGGATGCTTCCCTATGGTGTCCAATGACAGGGGTTGGGTGACTGGCCATCAGTTACGTATGGAGGGGGCTACCAGGTTGCTTCCTTATGGTGTCTGATAGATGGGTAGGGGTGACTGGCCATCAGTTAGGAACAGAGGTGGCTACCAGGTGGCTTCCCCATGGTGTCTGATGGAGGAGTAGTGTAACTGGCCATCAGTTAGGAATAGAGGGGGGCTGCCAGGTGGCTTCCCTATGGTGTCCAGTGACAGGGGTCGGTGACTGGCCATCAGTTTGGTAGGTAGGGGGCTACCAGGTGGCTTCCTTATGATGTCTGATAGAGGGGTTGGGTGACTGGCCATCAGTTAGGTACAGAGGTGGCTACCAGGTGGCTTCCTTATGGTGTCTGATAGAGGGGTTGGGTGACTGGCCATCAGTTAGGAATAGAGGGGGGGGCTACCAGGATGCTTCCCTATGGTGTCCAATGACAGGGGTTGGGTGACTGGCCATCAGTTAGGTATGGAGGGGGCTACCAGGTTGCTTCCTTATGGTGTCTGATAGATGGGTAGGGTGACTGGCCATCAGTTAGGAACAGAGGTGGCTACCAGGTGGCTTCCCCATGGTGTCTGATGGAGGAGTAGTGTGACTGGCCATCAGTTAGGAATAGAGGGGGGCTGCCAGGTGGCTTCCCTATGGTGTCCAGTGACAGGGGTCGGTGACTGGCCATCAGTTTGGTAGGTAGGGGGCTACCAGATTGCTTCCCTATGGTGTCTGATAGAGGGGTTGGGTGACTGGCCATCAGTGTGGTAGGGAGGGGGCTACATGGTGGCTTCCCTATGGTGTCTGAAAGATAGGTTGGATGACTGGACCATCAGTTAGGAACGGAGGGGGCTACCAGGTGGCTTCCTTATGGTGTCCAATGACAGGGGTTAGGTGACTGGCCATCAGTTAGCAATGCAGGGGGCTATCAGGTTGCTTCTTTATGGTGTCTGATAGAGGGGTTGGGTGACTGGCCATCAGTTAGGTAGGGAGAGGGCTACCGGGTGGCTTCCCCATGGTGTCTGATAGAGGGAATGGGTGACTGGCCATCAGTTAGGAATGGAGGGGGCTATCGGGTGGCTTCCCTATGGTGTCTGATAGATGGGTTGGGTGACTGGCCATCAGTTAGGAATGGAGGGGGCTACCAGGTGGCTTCCTTATGGTGTCTGATAGATGGGTTGGGTGACTAGTCATCAGTTAGGTACAGAGGCGGCTACCAGGTGGCTTCCCTATGGTGTCTGATAGAGGGGTCGGGTGACTGGCCATCAGTTAGGAATAGAGGGGGGCTACCAGGTTGCTCCCCTATGGTGTCTGACAATGGGGTTGGGTGACTGGCCATCAGTTAGGAATAGAGGGGGCTACCAGGTGGCTTCCTTATGGTGTCCAATGATAGAGGGTTGGGTGACTGGCCATCAATTAGGAATAGAGTGGGGCTACCAGTTGCTCCCCTATGGTGTCTGATAGAGGGGTTGGGTGACTGGCCATCAGTTAGGTACAGAGGGGGGCCACCAGGTGGCTTCAAGTCAGATAGGCTCTCACCTCTTTTTCTGGGTGGAGGACGCCTAGGTAATCTAGCCCTTTGCTCAGCCTGTCCCTGCATATTAAGGGGGCTACCCCATTGCTTCCCTTCATGGTGTCTGATAGAGGGGTTGGGTGACTGGCCAAATCAGTGTATCACATGTCTTCCCTAGGTGTCCTGTTGGATGACTGGACCATCAGTTAGGAACGGAGGGGGCTACAAGGGTGGCTTCTCTTATGGTGTTTTTAGGTGACTGGCCATCAGTAGCAATGGAGGGGGCTACAGGTTGCTTCCTTATGGTGTCTGATAGAGAGTGACTGGCCATCAGTTAGGTAACAGAGGGCGGGCTACCGGGTGGCTCCCCTATGTCTGTCTGATTTTGGGAATGGTCCCACTGGCCATCAGTTAGATGGGGGGGACTATCGGGTGGCTTCCTATGGTTCTGACAATTTTGGGTGACTGGCCATCCTGCCAGGTGGCTTCCTTATGGTGTCTGATAGAGGGTTGGGTGACTAGGGATCAATTAGGAATAGTGGGGCGGCTACCAGTTCTCCCCTATGGTGTCTGATAGAGTTGGGTGACTGGCCATCAGGTTATGTACAGAGGGGGGCCACCAGGTGGCTTCAAGTCAGATAGATCTCACCTCTTTTTCTGGGTGGAGGACGCCTAGCGTAATCTAGCCCTTTGCTCCCCAGCCTGTCCCTGCATATTAAGGGCCCATTCCCCATTTTTTTCCCTTCACATAAGGCCGGTGACCGGAATGTCAGAGGAGTAGCAGAAGTTCTGGTCCAAATTAATTTCAGTCCCAGAGTTTGACTTTAAAACGTTTGATGGGTTACTGAAGGAGTTATCTCCGGAGGAAAAATCTCCCCAAAAAGAGAAACCAATAATAAAGGCCTGACAGACCCTGGTGATAGAGGCTTTGGCTGGAGTGGAGAGTGTTCTGTAGTCCTAGGGTGACAACGCTGCTCATATATATATATATGGTACAGGGAGTGAGCGTTGTCACACTAGCACTGGACTACAGAACCCCTCTTCCAGGCTGACAACACTGTTCCTCCATAGATACAGTAAAATAAGTGAGCGCCGTCATCCAGGCACTTGACTACAGAACCCCTCCCCCTATGTTATATCTGTTCAATAAGTACAACTAAAATACCTGTTGATTCTGCCAGAAATCCTGAGAGCTGGAAACTACCTGTGTTATGCAGACAATCGGGGATGTTATGGAGACAAATGGCTGTTGTGTAGTCCTCTCCTAGGTTTTCCTCTACAGATCACAGTACAGTGAGTGTTGTCACCCCAGAACTGCACTACAGAACCCCTCCCTCCTATACTATAGAGAAAATTAGGACCCTAGCCTTGTCCTAGGATGACGATGCTGCTCCTTCATAGATACAGTATTGTGAATAAGCACGGTCATCCTAGCACTGGACTACAGAACCCCTCCCTCCTATGCTATAGAGAAAATTAGGACCCTAGCCTTGTCCTAGGGTGACAATGCTGCTCCTTCATAGATACAGTATGGTGAGTAAGCACTGTCACCCTAGCACTGGACTACAGAACACTTGCCCCGATGTTATGCAGAAGGGGAGGATCCTAGCCAGTCCTTGGGTGACAGCGTTGATCCTCCGTTGAAACAGAACACAGTTGTCACCCTAGCACTGGTCTACAGAACCCCTCCCTCCTATGTTATGGAGAAGAGGAGAAAAACCTAGTCCTGCCCTATGGTGACAACACAATGGACTACAGAACTCATCCCCCCTATGTAAAGCAAAAGAGATGATCCTTTGTCCTGTACTAAGGTGACAACACTGCCACACCATAGATATAGTATAATGAGTAAGCGTTGTCACCCTAGTACTGGACTACAGAACCCCTCCCTCCTATGTTATGGCGAAGAGGAGCCACCTAGTCCTGCCCTATGGTGACAACACATTGGACTACAGAACTCATCCCCCCCCTATGTAAAGCAAAAGAGATGATCCCTTGTCCTGTACTAGGGTGACAACACTGCCCCACCATATAGTATGAGTGAGAGTTGTCACCCTAGTACTGGACTACAGAACCCCTCCCTCCTATGTTATGGAAAAAATGAGGACCCTACAGTACAATAAGCGTGAGTTGCCATCTTAGCACTGTACTACAGAACACCTCCTCCTTACTTTTCA